AGACGGAAAAAGGCGAGAGGAAAATTTTGCACCAGGCGAATATGTCTACTTGAAGCTACGACCATTCAGACAGCGTACGACAGCGCAAAGGGCCGCAACTAAGTTGGGAGTCCGCTACTATGGGCCCTATCAGATTCTAAAGCGCATTGGTCAAGTAGCTTATCGCCTTGAGTTACCAGAAAGCTCACAAATTCACCCAGTTATCCATGTATCGCAACTCAAGAGGAGTTTAGGCGAAGCGCAGAAGTACTGTGAGGAGTTGCCAACCACCGCAGCTGACGGCAGAGCTATTGTACGCCCCAGACAGGCCATTGAGTACCGCAAAGTAAAAAGAGCGGGGCGCTATCGTTGGGAAGTACTTGTTGACTGGGAAGAGTTGCCACACGAAGAAGCCACGTGGGAGGATCTTGATGAGATACGTGATCAATTCCCGAACTTTATCCTTGAGGACAAAAAATCACTCGAAGGGGACGGGAATGATGCGGAAGTGGCTAGGCAGCTCAAGAACGCCGCAAGTCGGGCCTACCATGCGCGCAGGAGACAGGCGCGAGCGACGGCGGAAGTACGCATACTAGAGCAGAGCGCGCGAGAAATGGGCGAGGATACGCTGCGCGCGGATATACGGGCGGTGTGTGCGGTTGGCTGGCGGGGCGCTGGGTCGATGCGCGCGCGCGCGGGAGGATCGAGCGCAATGGAAGCACGCGCAGTGGACAAAGCCGCAGGCCTCGAGGCATGCGGAAAGGCGGGGCAGCACGCGCGCGGGAAAACCGCCAGGGCTGAAGGTGTGCGCAACACGGCCGATGGGGATGGACGCGCGGGGCGCCATGCCACAGTCCTCAATGAGTGCGGACTGGTGGGCAGGCAGGCACGCGCTGAGGCGGCGGATGGCAATGGCGTGCGCGGCACGCCGGATGGGCAACACGCGCGCGAGAAGGACGGAGCCCTAGTCCTTGAGGGCTAGGGCATGGGCGAGGCGGCAACCGACCTACGGCGTGCGTGCGTGGGTCCTTGAGAGAGAGAGAGAATTGCTTGGAGTGCACACCAAGAAATCTAGTTTCCTTCTAGTATTATATTTTCTAGCTTGTTTAGGATTCCTAATATTTTATTGCTTAACTATTTCCCTAGGTAGATTAGGACTAGATATAATTTGGTGCCTATATAAAGGACCAACCCCCATGCTATTTTTCATCATCCAAGAATTAATAAGAACTCGAGAACTTTTGTTCATCTTCTTTGCTTTAGTATTTCACCAAAATTCTATAGCAATTATATCGTTTAGAGGGGTGCGGTTTGTGAACCTCTAGACAACTATCGGCGATTCAAGGCACTGGTTTGTGTCTTATCGGCAGTCGAAACACACGATCTTCATCACCGCGCCCCTGCGTTACGTCGCCGAACGCCAATGCGTCCCAGTCGACGTCCGCGACTCGCCCGCCAATCGAACTCCCGCGCACATCATCCTGCTCCGTCCAACCACGCGCATCACCGACGCCCGCTGCTTGCCTACCTCCTGCGCACGACGACGCGTCACTCGCGTTCAACATCCTGGTGTCGCGTCTCCGTTTAACGCCTCGGCCCTTCGACCTCTTGCGCGCATCATGGCACGATGCGCGCCATCCGTCCGATAACTGGTCCTCGCCGATCCCTATGTCCCCCGACGGCCACGGATCCCAACCATCCAACCAATACCGTCACCTGCACGCCATATCCAGCCATCCTCCATTCCTAGCCTTCCTCGTCTTTGAAACTCCAAGCACCACGCCCGTTTCTTCCTAGTGCACGGCCCAAAACATTGGCTCGCCTTTTGCGCCTTTGTTTTGCGTCGTGTTTTGGCCTGGCGCTTCTTGACCTTCGATTTAGCCCGTGGACCACATCCCCTCGGCCAATCTCTTTTGCATGATTGCCGGTAAATTGGACTTGATGGCTCCTCCAACATGTTCTCCAACCAAATATCGAGACCATCGTCCTCCTCCTCGTCGGACTCGCCAGGGTTGATGACCACTTCCGTATCAGCGGGCCTGTGCGCGCGCTGCCAGTCGCGCGGGCTGACTGCCGGTGTGCTGCTGCCGCTGCATGCAGGTAGCGCGGTCACGGCCGGCCCTTGCCGGTCGTCCGGCAATTACTCTCGACCAAATCAACTTCAAACAACATGATCTGACATGACATGAATATGACTACCGAAATAACTTGAAAACATGAATTTTTGCTTAATGAACTGAACTTGACCGCGACGGACGCACCGTGCGCCGCCGACGGCGTTAAGCTGTTTCACGGCCGACTTGACTTTTCTCTCGGCAAATCATACATAACTGAAAATAAAACATGATTTACTGAACAAATGGACATGAAATACTCGAAAGACTGAACTTGATATACTTACTAAACACGAGCGGCCGGTGGCACGCGCTACGTGCGCGGCCACTTCCCTCGGCCAAACAACACTTAAACATGAAAGTTTTTTCGAACAATACTGAATAACTGATCATAATATATCATAAGGAAGCTGATGACATGCTTATTGCTCGAGAGATATTAACCTAAAACATAGTCACACTTGCGATGCACTCGCACGGCGGACGGCTTAAAGCCACGCCATGAACATGAATGTTCGAAAATAACATGACTTAACATGAACACTCATGGTAAACGGAGTTACCTCTTCGAACAACTAACTGAACGCACCAACTGATCGGAACAATCGGCTTCCATGTGTGGTGTGCGACGCGTGCTTGCTTGTGATGCAACTAGCCGTGCGTGTGTGCTGAGCTTACGGTGTCGTGCTGATTGCCGTGGAGTACTTCTTAGAATTCTCACAACCCTCAACTTCCCTCACTAGTGAATGTATATATATATGACTTAGTTATATGTGGAAGAAATATGGGAAAAATTTCCCCAAATACTCATCTATATATACACACGGCGCCGAGAGAAGAATAATACAAGACCTTGGTGGCCATCTATTATTAATGGCACTTGTAATAACACTAAGTAGTCTTAAGGTGACTAATCACCTCATAATCTCTCCTAATGCCACGTAAAAGTGCTTACAATTGAGGAAATAATTTCCTTACTTTGTGGAGAAATTATGTACGGCATTAGAGAATTAATTGGACCATTCCATACGGCCTTAGTGCTTTAATGTAATTAATTGCTAATTAATCACTAATTATGTTTAATTATTTAATTAAACGTAATGCTTAACTTTCAAAATTATTCCGAACGTAAGCGGTACATCGAAAATAATTTTTCGGTAATCTCGACTGAAATGACTGAAATAATTAATTCCAAAAGTTAATACTCGACAATATTAATATATCGGAATTAAAAACATGATTTATACTAATAAACTGACAGGGATATTACAATCCTTCCTCCTTAAAAATTTCCGTCATCGGAAATTCAAAACATAACTGAGTAAACATGAAATATGTACATGGAACATGAAATATGTACATCAACAGTAAAAATCTGGAAAACGAGCGCGAATATCGGACTCCGCCTCCCAAGTAGCTCCGTGGCGATCCCACTGAGTACGCATGAGGGGAACATCTCGTTTCCAGAGCCGACGAACCTGACGGTCCAATACTGCTACCGGTCGCTCCTCGTACGAAAGATCTGGCTGAACCTGAATATCTGAATGGGGAATAACATGATCGGGGTCGCACACGTATTTACGCAACATAGATGCGTGAAAAACATTATGAATGCCTGAACTCGGGAGGTAGGGCTAATCGATACGCGACCTCGCCTACTCGCTCGAGAACCTCGAACGGACCGATGAATCGAGGGTGCAGCTTCTCTCTCGTTTCGAATCGAACGACTCCGCGAATCGGACGAACTCTAAGAAAAGCTGGCTCGCCAACCTCGAACTGAATGTCTCGTCGATGATGATCGGCTGAAGATTTCTGTCGACTCTGAGCTGCCTTGAGTCTTTGCTGGATCAACTCGACCTGATCTGTTGTCTCCTCGATCAACTTGGGACCGAGTACTCTTCGCTCTCCTACTTCGTCCCAATAAAGAGGGGAACGACACTTGCGACCGTAAAGTGTCTCGTAAGAAGCCATCTGAATGGAAGAATGATAGTTGTTGTTATACGCGAACTCAGCATACGGCAACAACGACTCCCACTTAGCACCCCTGTCAACAACCAAAGCGCGAAGCATATCCTCGAGTGTCTGAATGGTCTGCTCGGACTAACCATCAGTCTCCGGATGGTAGGCTGAACTGAACTCTAGCTTCGTGCCCATCGCCTCGTGTAAATTGTGCCAGAATCGATTAACGAATCATGGATCTCTGTCTGATACAATAGTAACGGGCACTCCGTAGAGTCGGATGATCCCACGGGTATATATCTCAGCCAACTTATCTAAAGACATCTTCATCGAAACGGGCAAGAAATGAGCAACCTTATTCAATCTGTTGACCACGACCCAGATAGCGTCGTGATGTTCAGACGACCTCGGTAATCCCGTAACGAAATCCATCGTGACTTCTTCCCACTTCCACCTCGGAATCGGCAGTGGTTGCAGGAGGCCGATCGGACTCTGATGTTCGGCTTTGACTTGCTGACAGGTAAGACATCTCCTGACAAACTCGGCGATGTCTTTCTTCATGCCTCGCCACCAGAACGACCCTTTCAGGTCATGATACATCTTCGTGCTCCCGGGATAGGCTAGATAAGGTGTGGTATGAGCCTCTGATAAAATCTCCTTCCGCAACACCTCGACTTTTGGGACCACGATCCTGCCTCTGAACTCTAAGGCACCATCTGCACCTAGCTGAAAACCCTCGACGCCTCCGGCGCGAACCTTGGCATCCATGACACGAATGAACTCGTCAGAAGCCTACTCTCACCGGATTCTCTCTCTCAGCGTCGGCTGAAGCTGCATAGCACTAATACTGGCACTGAAACTCCCCGAAACAACTGTGGGAAGTGCGTCGACCGCCTGAATCTGATTCCAGGCAAACTCCTAAATCATCGGACTCTGTTGTGTAATGACGTACGTCAAGTCACCCCTCACCTTTCGGCTTAGGGCGTCAGCAACGACGTTCGTCTTTCCCGGATGATACTGAATAGAGCAATCGTAATCCTTGACGAGCTCTAGCCAACGGCGCTGTCTCATGTTGAGCTCCTTCTGAGTAAAAATATACTGCAAGCTCTTATGATCTGTGAAAATCTCACAATGACAGCCGTAAAGATAATGTCGCCAGATCTTAAGAGCATGAACAACGGCGGCTAACTCCAAGTCGTGCGTCGGATAATTCTGTTCGTGCGGCTTGAGCTGACGTGAAGCATAGGCAACGACCTGGCCGTCCTGCATGAGGACACATCCCAAGCCCTGTCTCGAAGCATCGCTGAAAATGGTGAAACTCCGAGAAGGATCGGGAATAGTCAACACCGGTGCTGAAGTTAATCTCTTTTTGAGCTCCTGAAAGCTCGACTCACATCGGTCAGTCCACTCGAACCTCACATACTTCCTCGTTAGCTGGGATAGTGGGAAGGCAATCTTGGAAAAACCTTCAATAAACCTGCGATAGTAACCAGCTAGACCAAGAAAACTGCGAACCTCGGACGGACTCCTCGGTGTCGACCAGTTCTGAACAGTTGAGACCTTGGAAGGATCCATCTCGATACCTGCCTGAGTAATCACATGACCCAGAAAGGATACTCGCTGGAGCCAAAACTCGCACTTGGAGAATTTTGCAAACAACTTTTCTCGTCTGAGGGTTCCGAGAACCACCCTCAGATGCTCCTCGTGCTCCTTCTGGCTCTTCGAGTAGATAAGAATATCATCAATAAAGACAATAACAAACTGATCGAGGTAGGGATGGAAAATACGGTTCATGAGGTCCATGAAAACTGCTGGAGCATTGCTGAGACCGAATGGCATGACGACAAACTCGTAATGGCCGTAACGAGTCCTGAAAGCGGTCTTAGCGATATCTGACTCCTTAATCTTTAGCTGGTGGTAGCCTAATCGTAAATCAATCTTTGAGAACACACAGGCTCCCCTCAACTGATCAAATAAGTCGTCATCCTGGGAAGCAGATACTTGTTCTTGATCGTCAACTGGTTAAGATCCCGGTAGTCGATACACATGCGCATGGATCCGTCCTTCTTCTTGACAAAAAGAACGGGTGCTTCCCAAGGTGATACGCTCGGTCGGATGAAACCGAGTCGTAATAACTCCTGAATCTGCGCCTTAAGCTCCTGCAACTCCTTCGATGCCATACGGTACGGGGCTTTGGATACTGGACCAGCTCCTGCAATGAGATCGATCGAGAACTCCACCTGCCGGTAAGGCGGTCCTCCTGGAAGCTCGTCTGGGAACACGTCCACAAACTCACGAACAACTGGAACATCGTGAGGTGATCGTGCTTTCTGAGAGTCATCGACAAGGCTCACCAGATAACCCTGGCAGTTGCCTCGTCGCATCAACTTAGTGGCTTTCGCCATCGAAACAACATGAGGCAATGAATGATTCCTGGATCCAAAGAAAATGATCGAGTCGTCTCCCAGAAGATAAAGAGTAATCTCCCGGTCATGACATCTGATATCTGCATGATAAAAGGATAGCCAATCCATTCCGAGAATAAGGTCGAAGTCCCTCATCTCGAGAACAAACGCGTCGGTAGACAATGAACGCCCACCGATGGAAAGGCTGAGATCTGAAGTTTTAGCTGAGGTCACTATCTTTCATCCCGAGGCTAAACTCACCTCGAGAGGATCGACAGCGGTAACGACATGAACTCCGATGGCATCAAGACATCGTCGTGAAATGAAAGAATGTGTCGCTCCAGTATCGAACAAAGCAAACACAGAAACATTATTAAGCACAACCATCCATGACATAGTACCTTGCTGCTGCTCGGCCCCTGCCTGATCAACTGCATAGACTCGGGCCTGCTGTCTGCCCCTCTGCTGCTGCTGCTGAGGCGGCCTCTGTGCCTGCTGACGTGGCTGCTGCTGCTACGGTGGCTGTTGAGGCTGCTGAGGCTGCTGAGGCTGCTGTGTCTTCTTCGGACAACGGTTCGCGAAGTTTCCGGGCTCGTGACAGTAGTAGCATACATCCTGGCCAAAGCGACACTCGCCTCGGTGAAGTCGTCCGCATGTCGGGCACTGTGGGATCTACTGTAGCCTCCGTCGGGTCCTCTTATCCATCGGGGCACCTTTCCCCTTCCTCTTGTTGTTCTTTGATGGTTGGGTAGCTGGTAGAGCTGGTGGCAACAGTGGAGCTGAAGATGACTGAGCAGGGGCGAATGGCTGAGACTCATCACGGACGGCCTCCCTCCTGATGCTGGCGTCCACCTCCTGGGCAATCGAAACTGCATGAGCGTACGTCTGTGTCCCGTGACCTACAATGTTATGACGGACTGATGGGTAAAGTCCGTCAATGAAGCGTTGTGCTCTCTGGGCCTCCGTGCAAACCAAATCAGGAACAAAAGCTGCAAGTCTGGTAAACTCCCTCTCATACTCGTCAACAATATGAGTACCCTGCTGGAGCGATAGAAACTGACGCTCCATCTCTGCTCTGTAGTAGGTGGGATAGTACTTCTCGCGGATCAGCTCCTTCAGCAAATCCCACGTACATCCTGCCTTCTCACCGGGACGCATGCTCCAGTAGGCATTCCACCAGAGCCGGGCATCACCAGTTAGCTGAAGCTGAGCGCAGATTACGCGATATCTGTCTGGACAATCCATGACCTCGAAGATAAACTCAAGGCCTTGAATCCACTCGTCCACGATACGAGGATCTCCCTGCCCGGAGAATTTCTCAGCATGATAGTCGCGGAATTGTGCGACTACTGTGGCCTGAGTAGGATTCGGGTGATCGGGTTCCCTACGGGGCGGCATCTGAACATTGAGAAAGTTCAACATTATTGAACACGTGATAATATTCTGACTGATTACTAGCGGACACAAATCTCTTGACGAGTTGCCAAACGTGGCCGATAAATACTGACATGAATCCTGAGGAACTCTAGAGTCATATCGGAAGATACTAAATTCTAGAGTCATATCTGAGTATACTGAACTCTAAAGTCTGATCCTGATTCGAGCATCTTAACTAAGTCCTGATAAATGATTTCTGAGCATAGACAAAGTAATATGTTTATAACTGAAAACTGAATCAGCACTTACCTGTAGTCGGCGAGGCGTGAGCGTGATGTTTCAGGTTTTTCTGAAAATTACTGACTGAAAAACTTTTCAGAGACGCAGAAACGTGCTCTGATACCAATTGTAACACCCCGAAATTTTACTGAAATCAGAGTACGTGTTTTTCGCAATTTTTCTGAATAAATAAATAAAATATTAATTTTGCGAAAACTGATTCGGGATGCTACCGTGAAAACTTGACTTTTCTGAAAACCGTTAGATTTGACACTGATAATGAAAACGGTTATAATATATTAACCGACTAGCGTCGGATCAAACACTGAGTTTAAGTACTGAAAGTTTTAGCGGAATAACAGCGTGGCAAAACATATATACATATATCACAAATATCCTGAACAGCCCGTCAGCTCACTCTTCGTCCCCGACCCTGCGACCTGAAAAACATGAAATACGTTGGGGTGTGAGCACTAAAACGCTTGTGCTCCACCGAAACTCATACTAATGTAAACATTGAAAATAATAACAATATCATGATCCTGGCATATATAACTGAACTGAACTGAAACTGAAACTGATATCTGATACCGGTCTGATCTCGCGACATAAGTCACGTATCTGATAACTGAACATCTGTCGGCACAAACTAATGCCGGAATCTGCCGGCACAAACTAATACCGGACCCCATGTGCACACTCTAGTGGGCAGATTAGGCCACTAGAACCCAGAATGGACCGGCGACCATTCCGAGCGGATACTGATAATACATACCTCAAACATAGTAGCGTAATTATAATCATTGTAGTACTTAGTCTGCGTCCCCACCTGATCCGTGAAACTGAAGGTAGTGTTGATGCCTCATCAAACTGAAAATAGTATAAACAATTACTACTGACTATGCTCAGACTGATAAATTAACTGATTAATTATGTTAAGATGCTCTACTGAACCTGACATGATGTTCGGACTTAATCGGTATAACTGAAACCGGTTAAGTATGAAACTGAACTGAATTAGACCCAGAATTTAACAGAAAATGATACAGAAATCTTAAACCGGGACTGAAACTGAAGAATACTGACTGAACCGGTCCAGCCGGTCTGAACCGGTCTGGACCGAACTGCCGGCC